TTATTTCTAGTTTTTCTTTTAGCTTCGAGTCATTACAATTTTTTCGTATATCGAACTTGAGTTTTTTGTGTTTCTTCTTATTTCATATAAGGACCGATAAATCTCATTACCTTACTTGTCATTTTCCTTCTGAATGCTGTCAAGAAAAAGGTTTTGTGTAGACACATGGAGGAGTAGTTCTTTAACGAAGAGAAAAAATATTCATTTTTTTTTCTTTTGAAAACATTCGTGAGTAACCTTCCAATATAAAAAGAAACAGTCGATCATTACGAGACCAATATCAATAATAGAATATGAAACAAATATTTTTACATTAAAATCAGATAATATTAGTGTGGGATGTGGATGTGTGACTGTGGGTTCAAGAGAGAAACAATCGATAAATAAGTCGAGATATGTAGTATGACTACATTCTACATGAGTATTCGTAGCAAATTGTCTATTTATATGTGTCCAAACGACGCGCTTCTCACGCTGCCAACTCGTTTCTTGTCGAATTGAGCCATCAACCTATCTCTTTGCCAGCTTTGAAAGGGATAACCATCGAAGATGTGCCTACTGATGCCTATAAATCAGTGATGCACAGCTTTCTGATATTAGTTCATCTATATTTCTTTTCGATTGATTTGAATGGCAAATACTTCTACTACTATTCGGATTACGATTCATGGACCGATACCGACTTTGTTATATTATTACTTAATTCACTCTCAAAATTACGCTCACTTTATTTACAAATCTCACTAAAGTGTGAGAGGAACTATATGCATGATCTCCGAGTCATATCTTCTTGCATCACGTCTCATTCGCATCTATGCACATCATCGATTGAGCAATGTTCGCGTCACTTGTACGCCGCATTTCCTTACTAAGTACACCTGATTATCGTTTAAATTTGAAAAGTCCTTTTCGAGAGACTGAAACCGATTGCCGTTTGTCCAATTCTTAGAGAAGAAATTTCTGTTCTACACAGCCGAAGAATTCTTCGAAAAATCTTTGTTCACATGAATAACTCAGAAAAAAAGTTTATCTGACGCATAAGTGCCTGTAAAAATTTCAACTCGGAAACTTTAAATTTTGAATGTTATGGGAAAATTGAACAAACATTTTATTTTTCAAAGATGATCAGTCGATGGGGTATTGGCAGACGTTTCCTTCTTCAACAAAACTAAATCGAATTTTGAAGACAAATAATTCAGACATATGAACATTCCTTGGCCATGCTGGGCATTTTAGTCGCAATCGTAATAACGATATTTTTACTATGCAACCTCATCAGATACCATTGGATCGAATTTGTTTGCCGAAATAGCTAGATAAAAATTCTCAAAAATATTAAGTCCGGTTGAAAACTGACTACTCTTCAATTCCATCAGAAAATCACGAATGATTGTTTAAAGTGACGTTTATATTGAGCAAAATCGGCTGAACTGGTTTTTAAAAATTCTGGTTTGAAAGTAATGGAGAAAAGCTAATAAACAATCCTTGAAAAAAATGTAACGTTTTTTGTAACTTTCAATTGTAGCACTCATATCCTTCATTTTCTACCGAAGATGAGTGAAAAGTATTTAAAATATACCAATACATAGTATTCTCTGTGGGCTATCGAACCATGCTAAAACTAGTACAAATGAATGAAATCTGTGTAAGCAATAGTGTAATTCATTAGTGCAAATTTGTTTTTGCAAACATCTGTAAGTCCACTTTCTGTTTTTAATTAACTTCGTCCTAAAGGGGTAAAAATCATGCACAACTGAGGTGAATCCGTTAAGATTTTACTCAGTTCTGAATATTTTACGAGAAGGCAGTAACATTTTGAAAGCAATTCGCCATTGTCGCAAAACACCTATTTGGAAAAGAGCAATTAGATCTTTTATAAAAGACTTGAAAATTCAGTTGGTCGATAGAAGTTTTCAAGACCTATACTTTATACATTTAGAAGTAAGAATTCAGATGAATATAATCGAGAAACTTACCCTTAAACCGAAAAAAGAATCGCAAAGTTGAACATTGTTATTATTTTAAATGTCTTTTCAATCAACTTTTTGTTTGACGTGTGAAACAAAAACAGAGCAACGATTTTCTAGAGAATTTTATGACACATCTTTTGGTAGAAAAAAATCCAGGAAATTAAATTCAACCGATATATGTGGATTTAGTGTTAGCAGTTTATCATTATCCCATATTTTGCAAAGTTGTAATTATCCAGATAATGCTACGCACTGACAAGAAAAAAATTTTAATCAAACTTAACACAGCATAACACAAAGCATCCACCGACCGGACCGAACCGAACTGTCGATTCGAATTGCAGAACTCTAAATATCGTTGTCGTACATTAATAATCGATTTTTAAAAGTTATCACACAAAAAATTCAGTAAACAGCGAATCCAAATAGAAGAATCATATAGCTCAGAAAATACTCGTGAAGCTCAATATGTACAGCAATTTTTATATTTTAATTATTACACACAAAATATGATTAGCATAAAAAGAACGTTGAATTTAATAAGAATCAGTTGAATTGAGAATTTCGTCGGATTCGACGAATATTCCCAGAGAATTCCGACGTACTCCAGCCGGCTTGACAAGAAATCCGATAGGAGCTTCTGATTGAAAATTGAAAAGTTTTTATCCGAGGCCATATGGCTTTTTCGACTGGCAAAATACACGGAAGATCGTTTTGGAATTGGACTTTTTTCGTCGTAAAATTCACATATTCGTACAAACACCTCCCAATATAATTTGCCACGGTAGCGAAAATATTTTGACTTTTGAAAACCTTGAAGCTTGCCCCGTACTGTGTTCAGAAGCAAATGTTTTTTTCAGAATTCAAATGAATCAGATTCAGAGTAATAAATCACTTCTGAAATGTACAAATTATTTCCCCAAATACAGACAAATATTTCCACATATGAAACACAAGATAAATCTAGTAATCAGACGAACAGATGGATTATATTTAATAAAATGAAAAGCTCTGTAAGTTAAATATTCAATGAATAGTATTAGAAGATAATTTTTGCGACAGTTTTCTTGATATTGTCCCTCTTATTATTGAGTTCGGATATCGTTAAATCTTGATTTGTAAATCCTCATCTCTTCTTCTTTAACGAGACTTTTTCTCTTCCACAGAACAATCATCTGAGAAAATAATATCAACAGTATCGTCTACTGGCTCTAATAATAGAATTATCATAATTCGATTATGATTGTGTCAACACGCATCATTTCTTTGGTTAGTGTTGCTTCTTAAAGCGTACACAGACACACACACATGAGTGAATAACAGAAACAATCTTATCATTGTTATATCATTGATTGATATGTCTTCTTTGTCAGACTCTATATTGGATTTACATCTCATCTATACAACTATAGGTTGTCAAACTTCTATTTTCTACTTATCGTTAATTTCTCTTTTGCGTTTTGCATTTTATTAGTACTGGCATACAAAAGGAGGGAAAAAATATTGTTAGAAATCAAAAAAGGAAGAACGACATGTAGAATACACGCATTGCCCTTTATTGTGCTATGTTTATGTATATCACACAGTATATTAATAAGAAGCTTTTCCGCATGAGAGAGAAGTATAAATATTGCTACTTTGACATTGTAGATGTTCTTCTGAAATTTGTTTGGCATTGTTCGTTCACTTTGTTTCAGATTTTCTCAAATTTATTCTGCATTTAAATACCCCAACAAATCGAACTTACGTAAGTAGCATTTTTAAGTTGAAATATATTGCAGTCAGCGACAACTTCATATTGAGAATGTAGAAAAGCCTTGATCTAGAGTTCGTCATTCATGATAAATTTCGTCCAAACACGGAAAACAATTCCAGCATCTAAATTGTTATCTGAAATACCTAAATAATAAGTACTACCGATAATATGACCCAGATGTTCCTCTGGGTTGCTATTCAAGGTTAAAGTTTTCTAAAATCGATATTTTTTGGAGAGAAAAATCTCATTGTTTCGGCGGAATTTCCATTTTAAATGCACATATGCACGAGTAGCAGTAGGAAAAAATGAAAGAATGGAGTAGTTAGTCCTATCTTCACACCGGATTAATACTTCTTTTTATTTTTAAATTACATTACTGAGCGCCAGATCAACTTAGCTATAAACAATCGATGTCGAACAATACTACTTCGATCTTCTATTGTGAAGCTAGAGAACGTTACAAAGGTGACTAATATCTGCATTATGTACAAAACATTCTTTTCAGCAGCTTGGAGCTTAGCTGTTATACTTCTATAGTCATTCAGGCAACGGAATACAGGAATGTTTATTTTTAAAACATTCAATGTTACTTCTATTGGGTAGTTTCGAACTTTTCAGCTCCGCCTTCGAATAGTGATTTGACATTTTCTATGCTAGAAATGAGATGTACGGGACGAGGACCGAGGAAATTTTCAGGATTTTCATCAATTTTAAAGAATTTGCTAGTATTTCATAATTCTCTTTTTTCCACTGTTCCATTATTATTCCGTAACACAACACACATTTCTCATCATAATTAAATGAAAGAAAAGACAAATAGACATACACTAGAGATGTGCGAGGCCAAAAAACACATTTCGTTGGGACTGGGATCAAATTAAGCAGAAGCAGCCAGCGATCAGGATCAACAAAAAAGTTGCCTGAACAGGGATCGGGAACAAAAACTGTTAGTCTCATACATCTCTATTCATTCGACGTATAGATCTGTGTTCTATCTTTAGGATCTAGCTCGCAAAACACAAGGTTTTCTCAACTTGACATGTGTACAATTTTCATTCTATGAAGTTTGATTCTTATTTTAATACGACACGAGTTTTTAAGAAAAAAGTCTCTAGTCGATGGATCGAGTAATAATACGAGCAAAGATTCAAAATTCTCAGCCCAAATTTGTTTTTTTTACCCTCACACACACACCTGCATTATGGGGACCTTCTAATACGAGAGAAGTTTATTTGTTTATTTTTTTTTATCTGAGAAAATGTTTAGCATTCAGAATGCCGTTCAAAAATCAAGAAACAGCTCATTGTCCTCGCTGTAGTCACGCTGTTTTTCAAGCTGAATCTGTTTCAGCTGCCGGGAAACAATGGCACAAAATATGTCTGACATGTGGTATATGAATCTATTTCTTTGTGTCGAACAGTTATTGTTTGATTATTTTTCAAAATAATCCAGATATGTGTAAGAAAACATTAGAAACGACGACAGCGGCTGAACATGATGGAAATGTGTACTGCAAACAATGCTACGCTTGTAAATTCGGTATTCATGGAGTTGGATTCGGTATACAAGATGGAACACTCGGAATGGATACCGGTGATCATTTCAAACACACTGAATCACATCAGTAGATACACTCTTTCGCTTCTCTCTACTTCCCATATAAACGAAATTCTTCCATTTGCTTTTAGATATATATGGAATCACCCTCCAAATCCCGGAGTTACACCAACTACGCTACGGGATCTACAGTGACCTGGATAAACTTACCAAAACAAAAACAAAAATCGAACGTCTTACACGTCTTCAATCGGCTTCATTAGTATTTTCACGCTTTTCTTTCTTCCTGTTATGCTACAATATTTAATCAATTTGCACGCTGAATAAAAATACCAGATGTAAACTATGCCCCACTTGAAAAATAAATAAAACATCATTTGCTTTATTCAAGCATTATCCAAAGAATTGTTCACTGATTATAAATAGAACTTCGAAGGTTAAATGTGTCTCCTCCGGAAGTAGAATAAAATGCAGTGAATGTAGAAAAAAATTGAGTATATTGACTTGAATAATATGTATCTTTTCCATTTTTCATTTTTTCGAGAAAATTTCTTCACAAACCGACAGGAACAATCAAGGGTGTGGTGTGGATATTGTTATGTGTGGCTGCGACGTGTGGATGTCAGTGGAGTAGTAGACCCAAACTCAACTCACACCCACCTCATATATAATTCTCCTTCTCTCGACAGAAAAACAGACAAAATACTCAAGATTCTTCTCTTATCCACAGCTGTTTATTCAATTTATTATGAAACTGAATGAAAACATCCAATAAGGCTAACAATCGCTTACAATTACAAGTTCCTTTTTAAAACTCATATTAGCTATAGATTAAAGGTTTATCACATTAAGTAATTTCATTCTCTACTATTTAACTTTCTATTTATTGAATCATGTTTGAACAGAAACGATTGATTTGGTGTGTACTTTAACTATTCAATTGTTTTGTCACAAATTATAGAGAAGATTATTTAGATAAAGAGAGATTATGAGATTTCACATATCGCCGGTTTTTTTTACATGAGACACTTATCCAATAGAAGAAGATATAAACACTGGTGTGGGTCAACGAAGTCTATGGGTTACAACAAATGACATTATGATTTCTTCGTATCGTACCGAACCTTCCATCAAAAAAGTGTCAATTGACAGTTGTTGGTAATGTTAAAAGAGGAATTGATTACAATAATGATTCAATTAAATACTGAATTTCTTTTCTAATCGAATTTGACAACGTTCGACTTGTATGAAAAATAGCCAAACTTGACTTTAAATGCTTTAACAATTAATCTAAATTGTCGACGATAAAAGTATAATATCGGCGAAATTGATGTACATAGCTTGTTCAATTGTGATAAATTATAACAAATTGAAGCCAGTAAGAAATTAATTATCGACAAGAGAAACTTAATTGGTCTACTAGAAATATATATAATACTTTTTATCTTTAATTCTAAAATTTTTTACGTTGTAATCTATTAACCCTTCGTGGTTGTCCTGATTTTTGTACTTCGTAGTTGTCCTGGGGTCCGCCTGGACCCATCTATAGAAAATTACAAAAAAAACGATTTTTTCCTTTCTTCAAGCGTTTCATTTGACTTATATGAAGAGGTGAAGATCTTTCTTTATAAAAACTAATAAGTCAGCTCTCGTGAAAACAATGTAAAGATGTATGATATCGCAAAAAATTACTTTCTCTAATCGTTTTTGTAGCAACATTGATAATAGCTGGGAAAAGCATAAAATATATCAATCTAGTCTAGATGATAGGATTCTACGCGTACGTTGTTATATATATAATCAATTGTACAATTGAGAAAGCAAGAAACTTTTCTTTTTGAACTATAGCTACTTTTATCTTTCTCTTTATTATTAGAAAAAGCAATAAAAACTCAGTTTTTTTTATCAAACTGATGATATTGTTTGTATATAAATCTTTTTTTCATAAATGCAAAGTATACTCTAATGTTTTTCCATGCATGTTTGACAAGTTACTGTTGTGACACTGTTGGAATGAGACAAACAAACATTTTGACCACAGCTGGAACATGTTTGTCGAACTTTTCATCCTGGTTGAGCTGGACATAGGAAACACCTTTTTTGGCTTGATGAATTTGGATGTTTTGGCTAACATCTTTGATGCTCTCTGAGTGAACCTGATAACCTAGTGAGAGCAACGCCAGTTTGACTTTAGGCATAAGCCGAACTTCTTGACTACGGCGACGATTTTGTGCATCTGTCAAACTTTTGCTCAACTGCTTTAAAAACGTACGTAACATATAAGCCAACCAAAGTAAATCATTTTAAAAAAATTGTGAATCAACAGATGGCAGCTTTATCAAGACGAAAAATATGCTGATAACAGCATAGTTGTCGTAGGATCCATCCGGACCCACAGCTGCATTTTTCATCTGCTAGGCTTATCGTTGATTTCTAATAAGGATGTTGTAGACCAACATAGGACTAGAGATTAGATAAGGGGACTGGCCAGAAACAGAAGCTCTTGATGTAGTATTAAATAAAAAACTGTGAAATGGGTCCGCGCGGACCCCACGACAACCACGAAGGGTTAAATAAATGAAGAGCGTCTATATTATTTTCACGAAAACCATAAAATTAGGAGTTCGTTTATTTTTTTAACTAGATTAGTAGTATTCAATAGTGTTGATAAGATGTTTCAGCATATGAGAATAATTGAATGGATGGTGGTTCGTCTTCGGACACAGGTAGTTATAATTATCAGTGAGCGACCTTATGATTTGACAAACAAAAATCCATATTCCTTGAGTTATTTTTCCTCCTAGATTTTATCATTACTCTTTTAATAATTAGAACTAACAAACAAAGAAATTGAATATGTGGGTGTGGGTGAGTGGTGTGGGTGGGTGTAGGTGTGGGTGTGGTGTGTAGATGTGGGTGTGGCGTGTGGGTGTGGGTGTGAGGAAGAGACTGATATCCGCAGCCGCAGCCGCAGCCATAGCCACGCGCACACCCATCTACATCCACCCACCCACACCCACACACCCCACACCCACACACCCCACACCCACACACCCACACCCACACCCCACACCCACACCCTCCAACTTCCGGCTCGAAAACTAGCTGATGACGTACGAAATCCTCCTGAAAACCGAACTGAAGACGTTTTCTTTTTTTTGCTGTTCAGTTTTGATTTCGTTGGTAACCTGAGCAGAAAATGTTTTTGAAAAACTCATGGACATTCGCGATGAAAAAATTTTTTTCATCTTTCTCTCATTCTGAGAGGACCCCCTCCCCCCCCCCCCCCCCTGCCCTGCCCCCTTCGTGCCGCCACTGAATACGAGTAACATGAGTATCTCTTTCGTATTGATGCTTTAGTCGACCTCATTTTCGAAAAGGTTTAATAATGCGAAAACGAGCTACTGTGATCTTAACACTCTTGCTGTTGATTTCATCACCTTGTTCCTGTATGCAAAAATAATATCTCTGAATGTTATTTCCATTTTCAACTATTTGGTTTTACCTAAACTTTGGTAAAGTAATTTTTTCAAAGGTAATGTTAGTTTGTATTTATTCTTCTTCATTATAAAGAATGAGTTTATATGAAACTTTTACTTTTTATGAGATTAGGATAAATAAAAAAAAGAAAATCATCATTATCTTTAAAAAAAAAAAGTGAGTAATTTCTTTAGTAGTAAGAAAACATAAATAAATGCTTAATTTGCAAATAAAATAAGCGAAGTCAAAGAATAACTTGTTCTGTGAAGACCTAATCTTGTTTTTTTCTCGAAACTTCTACAAAAATTGTAGTGCCATAGTTACAAATATGTAGATATGGATAAAACTTTTTCATGTATTTTCATACAGCGTTCTCAACTTTAAATAACAATATATATTCTATTATTAACAAAATAAAGATTATTTATTTTGCTATAAAACAAATTTTTTTATTTATCAAAAAGAGGTGTTAATTTAATAATTTTTCTTCTTCTTTTAGATAGTGAAACTTTTATTTCTTTTTATTTGTTGCTTATAAATATGAGAAATGCGTTTATTTTTATTGTATGAAAAAATCTTATTAATATTCATATGCAAAGTGATAATAATCAACATTATTTTTCTTATAACTATAAGTGCTTCAAAAATTGTTAGTCATTCGGTGTATGAACATGTACCCAGGTCGATCATTCCGGATGTTCGTAACGGCGTCGTAAACGGTAT